AGTCAAAAGCTGGTAGTGAACCAAATGAAACCACAGTCATCGGATCCAGCACAAGAAAACTAAGATTTAATTTCACTGGAACAAAACCTTGTCGGCAAAAAAACCCAGTTAGCAGTCAATTTTTTTTGCTGCCCTGAAATTATTAAATAGGAAATAGTTGTACTCCACAATAATAGGCTTGGTCTTGCACTCACTATATGCTTACAGTTTGCTTTATCTCAGTAAGTTTGATACATAGAACTACAGGCTCAAAGAGCAACTTCATATAATGCAGTAAAATTACCTTAACATGCTTTCTTTTTACCATCATCTAATTATGTCACAGATTACCTTCAATTAAGAATGAATTAAGGACTGGATCTAACACTCCAGGAAAGCCAGCCTAGTCCACAGGGGCTTTTGTTGCTTGGGCTAGTCACTTCTTTCCTGGGATTTTTACCGTACAGAGAATTTTCTGCACAACTTATCCCTGGTGTCCGTACCAATGTTTGAATCTCAACAGCTACAATACTACACAGCTAACCCTGAAGTGTTATTTTTCTTACTAAGATTTTTTTTCAGGAAAATACTTCATAGTTTATTCCAAACTTGTTAAAATATATTGTATAAAATGAAAACTAGAATTAGCTTAGGATCAAATCCCAATGTGTTTCTTCAAGACAAGATACTATTCAGCATTTACAAAAGCTTTCTGTAGTAAGAGCCATGGCACCTGGCCAGGATACTATTTTGAAGTATACTGCAGAGTATGACAGGTTGATCTGAAAATGACACTGCCAGGAATACCAACAGCCAGAATCAGCTCCTCTGTTTCTTATTTACATCATATGATTAAAACAGGAGAAACTGCTTTAAAATATTTAAAAAACTAAATAATAAACCACGAGATCTCTTGCAACTCAACTTTGCCTCAAACTGCTCACCAAAACCAGCATTTCTGTAACTGAAACACTGTAGCTGTGCTAACTCCACATGTCAGAACTCTACTTCTGAGCTAATGAGTCCTCTTACCAACATTTTGCACTTGAGAAAGTATTTGTCACCATGTTTTTACTCCCTCCTTGTTTCCTGTGATTTCAATATCAAAAGTTTTTTGCATGCAGGTATGTAGATTCCGAAAAGTTCACTGGCATAAACACACAGGAGGATGATTACAGATGTAAACCCAGAGACTACAGATTTTTTTTAAAACAACACCACCACAACAAAAAAACAAATCACAAAACCAAACAAAAAACCCAACAACCACCACCAAGAGAAACCAAGGAGGCAAGCAGCAAGCAAGCACATCCACCCTAATCACAGTCGCACCTGTCATTACTCGCAGGTAACAACTGCACCTGTGTGACAAAATAGTTTCAGGTGGGAGCTATTTTGGATCATCAGAAACTTAGCCATCTTCTGCTGGTATTTCTGAGACCCAAGGAGCTACAGCATTTACCTGCTTTATCACTGATAGCAAAGCAGCCATGAGAGACAAAAGTGAACTGCCTATCTTCCTAAGTAAAAAATTAGTTGTAGTCCTGCCATTTCCTCACCTGTAGCAGGGACTGTTGTTGAAGAGGTGTCATTTTTATGATTAGTTGTGCTATCTGCTACCAAAACTAAATACCTACTGTTTCTATGGTATGCAGTGAAATACTGAAACAAGGAAGTGTGATAAAAAGGAGGATTTTAGGAAAAGGAACAGGTAAGCAATGCAGGGCCTTGCAGAAATAAATACATCCATCCAAAGAAGCTAAGCAGAGTGCGTCCGGTGAGAAAGAAGAAAGCTCTTTGTATCTAATAATTCAAGTCTGTTCATCTACATGAAAATTAGGCTTGTTACAAGCAATGAAACATTAAATATTGCCATCTTCAACAAGACAATTAAATGCTGGTCATTCTCTGCAACTAAGTCAGTACATGACTTTCACAATTTTTTTTAAAAACTTGAAAGCAGTAGTGTAGAAAAACTTTGTTCTCTATCGACCTGTCTCCTCCCCTTGACTTTCTAAAGCTCCTGCTTAATAAAAGTTTTGGCCAAATTTTCATACAGCATGTGTTAAATGTTGTTTTGTAAAAAGAAAATTATCTCTGATCACATGAAAGAAAGTTGGAGGAAAGAACTGTCCATCGCTATGCCATCACATCCACAAACAATTTCATTTCAGAGACTGCAAAGAAAGGCCCAAAGTATGCATTCTTAACATGCTATTCATAACATTAATCAAAGAGAAAGAGCTATAAAATAATGCTCCATTTTTATATATCAAAGTAGATAACACACATGTATTTCAAATGCTTATTGCAAATCTATCTTAAGGGAAGCATACATAAAGGCTAATCATCTCTATTTGAAATAGATTTCCTCAGTTTGATCCTCAAAGGTATCAAAATAGTCTCATTGTTCTTTCTTTTATGTTCTCAAAGATATTAAAATTAAGTGACAAGGACTGCTGCTAAATGATCTGTAGCATCTGCCATAATTGGAGTAGAAGCTTGATAAATGCTAGATAAGTTCATGCTGAGGCATTTGAACTATTTAACTTACTTTTGTTTACTTGGGAACACCTTTTTAGCAGTATAAGAATCAGACTGTCAAGCGTCTTACACTCACCAATAGAAACAGCACAATGTATTCGTAGCTTTTTCATTAGTGCTTTTAGGGACGTAAATTATATTTGCAGTTCAGAAGGAGACAATATATTGTTGCACATCATTTTATATCCCACACGGCAAATCTAATGAAAGTGTCTGTGTATATTTCACTATCATTGCAGAGCATCCAAATGACAATGGCTCGAAAAATACCCTGCCTTTTATTACATGACTTACCTGATCTAAAACCAGACATTTCACTACCCTCAAATTAAAACTCTGGGTTTTGTTTTGTATAAATCTTGTTATATTTAATAGATGTACCCTAAACATCTGAGCAAATAAAAGACAAACACAGCTGAAGGTATTTATACTGCTCTAGATAACTAATAGCCCTCTGAATTTTAAACATTACTGTTCTTTCCTGAATTAAATTAACTAAAACAACTATTATATACTTTTTGTACATTCAAATGGCAATTAAGCTTGCCATGGAAACAAGGATTACTAAGAGGGTGCTTAAAAATGGATGTGACATTCAGTAATGGTCTTTACTATAATCTAGAAATTAAATTTTGGATTTTTAACTATTATTTTCCCCTATCTATAGTGAAGTTGTCTAGCAAAACATTTGGTATTACATCATTTAGTAATGTGTAAATAACACTTTAAAATAAAATTGCATGTATTCTTTTGTTTAAAAAACCCCTTGCAGCTCTTACTGTAGCTGGGATGCTGAAATCTGAACACTGTAACAGATTTCCTTACAGATTATGAAACCAAAACTTGAATCTTAGAAAATGGGCTCTCACCCTCTCTCCCTCAAAGCAGCATTCCCTTTAAACAACATCTTTTTCCCTTCAACTTCCACCTATAGGACCACATAAAAGATGGAAATTATTTGCTTCTATTAAGGTTTGTCTCAAGTCACAAATGAAAATAATTAAAAGGAACTCCTTCAGGAAAGCAGTCTGTCTAAACGCAAAATGTCACTACGTACCATATAGTGCTGCTCTAGCACAGACATCTATCAAAATCTATCACTCAAGCATGAGCCTCAACAACTCTGCTCCCTTTTCTGATTAGAGATCAGAGTTGCTTGAGTTGGCTTACAGGGTATCATCCATTTGAATGACAGATGTCTGTGTTGGAGTGCCACACTTGCTGCTTTTGTTTTGATTGTGAAAGTTTACAATTATCTGGCACAAGTTAGACTATTTACAAATAAATAAACCCTCAAAAGCTGTTTTCTCTCTGCACAGGCTTTCATTTTTATCTCAAAAAATGTTAGCTCCATGTGCAGTACCCTTGGTAGCCTTTGTTTACTCAGTACAGAGTGTTTTCTATGGGAATGTTTCAGCTCTCTTCACTCAGCTTTATCTTTACCAAATAAAATTAGAACTTTTCAGTGTAATCCAGCCTCAGAAAAAACTGGAAGCACAGGACACACATCAGCACCTAACGCAATAAGTGTTAATGAACTACTCCAAGATAACCCCCCCCCTTTCCATTTTGTTTACATTAGAGACCAGGGATCAAAAGAAAGCATAAAACGTCTGCAACTTGCATCAAATAAGTTCATTGTTGCCCCAAGTTTCCAGGACTGACGCTGTCATTCTGGTAACCAGGTGCAATGGGAGCAGAGGGCTGTACGCCTGCATGCTCCAAGATACTCCTTCGTACTTGCAAGGAAACAGAGCCGGGGGGGAGGAAGAAAGAAAGGAA